TATTACTTTTCAATAAAATAAACTGAATTAAGTTTGAATACAAGTTTATTTTAAGCTTTTATATGAATTTCTTTCAGACATTCGAAGTAATTTATTAAGCAGCCTATTTCTTTTAATTTCTGCAAACTTTTTTATGCGGTTTTAAGTTAATTTTAACTCATTGTTTTGGTTTTATGCGATTTTAGAAAATTACGGAACGTACCCCTACTTTTTCAAGGCAAGTAAAGTCTTTTTTTTATGCGAATTTTTTATATGCGCTTTTCTGTAGAACGTATCCACCGCATAGAACGAGACCTTACAGTACTTGAACATACACTAACAGCTGCTCTTAAGAAAAAAACCAGTGCGGTTTTGCATTTTTTGCGAATCAAGTCGCGTATGTTTTCTCTGTTATATACATATATATACAATTGGCGGAAAAATAAACTTAACGATTTAAGGCATAAACCAGAAATATCACGAAAAATTATTAGTTGTGATGGAATCACAATGTCTGGCTGCAATTTTTACCATAATTCTAAATTATCATATTTAACATAGACGGTCTCCCTCTGAAATTAATAGTGTCGTTCCTTTTTTTGTCTGTCCAGATGGAAGAAATAATAGAAATTACTGTTTTAAGTTAGTGACGTAACGTCTGTCTTGTATTTTCTTGAAAGTCGATTTTAATTTTTCAATGCTTTCTGTTAAAATTCTACTTGTATCTTAGTTTTAAAATTTTTTTTTATCCCTTTTGATAAATTGTTTTTAATTACACTTCGCTTATATAGAGATAAAGACTAACAACATGTTATGAGGATAGACATACCAACATATTTAAGGGTATTCTCGAATGGTTATAATAGATTTTATATAAAAATTTAAATGTGTTGTCCTAGCTGGACCCATACCCGTTACATGTGTTTGAAAAAGAAGATATTTAAGTACAGAACTAAATGTTATATATTTTCAGCCATATACGTTGCTGTAAAGAAAAATACAAAAAATGTAAATCATAATTTAAAATTTCCACTGTAAAAATTTTATAATTTTAGAATTTTTAGCAAATTTTAATTTCATGTGATTCGTGGAATTATTCTATTTGGCAGACATTTTTTATGCGGTTATATAAAGCAGTGTCTTAAAAGTAGGTTATGTTTACCAATGAACGTAACGATGAGATAAATAATTGTGTAATGGCAAAAATCCATTACGCATTTCACTTATTAATGCATTGTGCTATTTAATTTTAGAATGA